GGAAAATTTACCTGCTTCAATTAAATCAAATCTTTCAGGTACAATAACATGATCTTCTAAAGACTCCAAATTATTATTATTTCCTGTTTGGCTAGTAAGTACTGTATTGGATAAGCAGCTTTCACTTGGGGGAAATATTACTAATGTTTACGTCAGTCTCTTTGTTTTCTTTATTATCACATAAAATACTGCTTTTGTGAATAGTATTAAGGAACTCTGAAATACATTTTAAAATGTTAAGTTAATAAAATTTAATTATTGCGGTTTGCATCAAACCTTTACCAGCCACAGTTTTGGATATATCATTATAATAATTAAGTACCACATTGAAATTATTATCCGCACCTAGAGCACTTTCCACACCAATATCGAATGAATTATTGCTTGAACCCAAATGTTGTTCATTTAGAGGCTCTAAAACAAGAACGATCTAGTCAAACCTACACCTACCTCAAAGTTTTGGTCAAAAGAGTAAGATCATACACCTTTAACTAAAAATAAATTAATACAAACCTTTTGAATTAATATTTGCCGTTGGAGAATCTCTAAAAATGTCGTAATTTGCAGGAACCAGGTTCTCTGAATCATTGCATAAGTAGATGTTATTGTCTATAATTGAGGTGCTTTTACTTAGCACCTCTGCAAAAAAAGAATAGTGTTTTAAAAAAATCTTGAAACACAATCGAAAAAGTGATTTTTAATTTTTATTTGAAAGTAAAGTTAACTTATTTTAAAAAATATAATTTTTAATCATAAATACCTTAATTTGTGGGGCCTTTTCTAACATGGTCATCTCTAATGATTTGAGGCGAGTTTAAAATTTTCCAAACTTCTGCACTTTTAACATTAATTACTTGCTTAGCTTTTGCAAGTTTTAATATAAGTTCTCTTCTTTGCTGGCTCATTATTGGCTGTAGAAAAATAATAATTATAAAAATATACCTAAGTAACAAATACGAGAACAAACTAATACATTATTTTCTACAAAAAAAAGTTGTAACAATTTTAATAAAATCTGTCCGTTACTATTAAAGAAAACTGGCACAATTCAAAATAAACCGCCAATGTTTTTATAAGTTTTGAACTATTTTTAAAGAAAATTGGCACATCTTGAAAAAGAACACAAAAAGAAAAAAAATCTTATAAAATTAACAAATTATTTTGTAGAAAACTGTTCTAACTCAAAATGTGACAATATTGTCTAAAATATTAGGTAATTAAATGTAAATAAAACATTACAAAAAAAATCGACTTAAGTTCAAATGTGCCTATATTCCACAAAATATTAAATAATAAATACGTACCTTTTTTAAATGTGACACTTTTCGCGAAAATTTACGAACCGATTACGATGACACTTAAAATTCAACTGAACTTGTAACGCTGTTCCATAAAAACATGCGCGATGTTTCTAAAAAGTCAATTTGTCACTTGTCACCCACCATCTAGCGGCAACCGTTAAAGTTAGTTAAACTACGATTTTTCCCTTAATAAAAGGCATTATTTACAATTTGATAAGCAATAAAACAGAAAAACATAATTTTTGAGTTGTGACAATCTTCTTCCAAACCAATGATATAACCCTCGCAGAGCATGAGTTCGCATATCACTGATACCATAATTAACTACTGTCGAATAAGTTGATGTTATGGAACGAGTCTGGCGAAAAATTTTCTCACAGGGTTGGCTACTCCAAAGCCAAGGTAAGAAACCTTCAGGAGTCATTTCACGTTTCTCAATAAGAAGGATAAGTTCAATAAAACTTATTGATTTTTGAGTTATACGCGAGGTTTAACGCCAAACGGTATCCGACATGCGACTCGACATATCCTGATGACATCAATTTTCACTTCCAACTTTCGGGTATTAAAGAGAGATAACCTAAATATGATGCAACCATCAGTTCCTATTATACAGAGTTTAGATTCAATTTTATTCAGTATTTGGAGTTTTCAAGAACCTGGCCAAGGATAATTACAATGACAGTTTCTTTGTTAATTTGCAATGTGATTCGCAATCAATAATAAATAGGATTTTAACGGTTTCAAAGAATTAAAATGTGTCCAGTGTGATTACGCAACCAACAAAAACAATACCTTTGTAATGTATAGTTTTGATAACAAAGGGGCGGTGGGGGTTATTGTTACACCACTATAATTAATAAAGGCTACAAGGGAGTAGAAACAATATATGAGAACTTATAAACATTTTTTTATACTTATTGCAATAAATCAGGTTGCCCTGAAATAATTTTTAAATAATACGATCGTTGGATTGATTTTAATGTATTGTAATAACTCGGAATATTATATTATGCCTAAGATATAATGCCGGAACTACACTACCTAAGTATACTTTAGCATATTATTCAACAATAATTGCCACTTTGATATTGTCCTTGTTTTTCTTATTCTTTTGCCGCAATTAGGTTGCTCAAGCCCTTGCCCGAAGGAACTCTACCGATAGTTTAAAAGCACTATAACAAAAAACTGAACAATTCACATGCAAACACTCGAAACTTCTGGAAATAACCAACGATAAACGCACATTGTCTAGGCGCCTCCTATAGAGGAGCGGTGGGTGTTGCTAACACCTAGTTATATAGTAGGTTTTTTTTGCAGAAATTCGTGACAGCGGGATCTGTTGACTGAAATTTCGTGAAAAATATTGGAAAAATGTTTAGGGACTTTAGCGCCGCGCCTTGCAAAATTTAGCAACTTGTTTTAAAGGCCCGGCTTAAAATATGTTTATTAGAATATAATTTAGATAGCACCAGATAAGCCGCTTTTATTTTATTATTGATATGCCTAATAAACCTCGGTTTATGCACAAAGATACATCTAAATTCTTACCTCATCAGATGGAATCATATTTAAGTTATTTAATTTAATTTTCATACAGGGCCAAAATGCTAGATGGTGACTTAGCCGCATTGATGATTAATGAGTGCGGTTTACATCCTAACCAAACTGCTCAAATCATTATTAATAATGTAATTTGCAAGTTTTCAATCAGATATGACAGCACTTTTCCTTTTCAGCTACTTTCGGTTCTTGTCCGCTCCCTAGAAGTAATTGAAATAGTTGCTTCTTTACTTTTTCAAGTGTTTACTTCTTCCGTATAAATCAGTGGCTTAATACTTTCTGCAATCTCACTGCCATGAATCAATTTTTTCTTTGAATTTTTATCCATAGTACTTGCTTCCTCCATTTCATGTATATCCTCTTGTTGGTAGTCTCTTTGCTCACCTACCTATACAGAGTGTAACAATCATCAAACAAACATTTCTTCCAAGAAAACTGAAGTTCTAAGATGGAATGAAAACAATGCATTCCCAAAGGGATATACAGGGTGTCCCTAAAAGGTCTGTACAACGCGCTACCAGGGGTTCTTGGTATCAAAATAGGACGATTTAACCCAACTTACCTCTATCCAAAAGTGCTTAAGGCGGTTAAGGCGCTAACGCCAAAGATTTAAAATATCAATCGTTTTGAAGTTGCTATGTAGGTGGTAAAATACTGACCATCCACATCTGTGAAAAAGGGTACTATCTTCGTTCTGACTATGTAGGTGGTAAAATACTGACCATCCACATCTGAAGAGGTCTAAAACTTTTTAACTACTATTTTGACGGTTCTGAATTTTTAGACACTGATAGACAGTTTACTTGCAAGCATTTTTTGTCTCTTGATGAATATCGCTATCTGTGATGGTTTACGAAAAAAAAAAAATTTAGGCATGATGAATGGCATGCACCATACATGCGATTGTTCCTCAAAAACCATAAGTGCAAGCAAGAAGTAGGCTATGACGATTTGGAAACCTGTGAGTATACTCCCTAACGCATTGGCGACCATTTCCACGACAGTATCCAAACACTAATAGCATATCAGTTAACTCTGCGTTACTGTATTGAAAGGCCATATTACAATTTTAACAATGAAATTTTAAGTCTTCAAGCAAAACGTAAATTGTTCAAGTTTAAGAAACAACAAACAAACGTTACGCCACTCTAAGGTTTCACAGCCATCTTCTGATTTTTTGAGGAACAATCGCATGTATGGTGCATGCCATTCATCATGCCTAAATTTTTTTTTTTTTCGTAAACCATCACAGATAGCGATATTCATCAAGAGACAAAAAATGCTTGCAAGTAAACTGTCTATCAGTGTCTAAAAATTCAGAACCGTCAAAATAGTAGTTAAAAAGTTTTAGACCTCTTCAGATGTGGATGGTCAGTATTTTACCACCTACATAGCAACTACAATCAAAACGATGATATCACAAAGACCCTTTTTACATTAGACATTCACATCCCGAATTTCATTTTAATCGGCAAAACCATTTTCCGATAAAATAAAAATAACGATTTTTTTTTTAAATCTTTGGCGGTAGATAGCGCCTTACCGAAGCACTTTTGGATAGAGGTAAGTTGGGTTAAATCGTCCTATTTTGATACCAAGAACCCCTGGTAGCGCGTTGTACAGACCTTTTAGGGACACCCTGTATGTTTTTTTTTTCAATTACGGATTCATGAATGGGGTCCTTTTCAATCCATATATCAGGTCTCTTGTCCTTGTGCCAGGGACGTAAGATGTATAAAATCTCATAGCCTCAAAAGCTAAATTGATATGACAGGCCCAATTTAGTTCAAACATTTAAGATAACAATAAGGATTTGATAGCAACATTTTAGGAAAAAACAACCAATCTAATTTATGAATACAACAAAACAAGGTTGCTTTACCGCTAAACAAATGATATCTTACATGCATATTGTGAAAAAAAAGTGTGTTCTATTAACCGAATGGGGTAATGGATTTATTGTTATTGATTTCTTCTCATAATCAAATTTGAACAGCCGAGTATTAAGAATATTCAAATTGCATTGACTCCATTGTATCTATTTTATAATTTTGAAGAAGAATTCTGTAATGACTACCTAGTCATGTACTTGTCATTGCCATTTCTCAAATTACTAAAAATTCCTTTTGTTTGCAGGTTTTGCAAAAACAAATGGACATTGAATTAGAGCTTTTCCCAGAAAACAGTGGCAAAGACAAAGCTGCAACGGTAGTAGCCCGCCTTACTGTATTACAACTAAGTTCAACACCTGTAGATCAAGAACATAAGACTGATCGTGATAGAGACTTTAGTGACGAAGAAGACGAATTTAGCTCAGCGGAAGAAGAAGGAGGAGATCTTTCCGACAGTGAACCGCTACGTTCCAAAATGCCACACGCAAGAGTATGCGGCATAGAGGGTGAATGTTACGATTTATTTTGTTTTTCTAGCACAACCTAAAGCAGAGATTCGTCTCATTATTAAGAAGGTTTCGTATGGCAGATTCGGAAGGTGGCCGTGGCGCTTCTCTAGCAAATCCCAGTGATATTCAAGCATTATTCCAAGAGTTAGAGTCGTTAAGTTGCGATGAGGATTCTGGTGCTGAGCAAGACACTATGTCAATATCGAGCACACCAAAACCTAGTTTAAGGCCGTTTTTCAGTAGTAGTCGCAGTTTATTAGATAATCATCCGGCACCAGGTATGTATTGATCAAACAGTGTGTGGAAGTTTCATTTTTGTTTTTCTACAATATTTGTATAACGTTGAAACAATCCCCTGCTCTATTTTTAGTTTTAGCAAAAGTCTGTCACTAAGAAACAATTTGGACAATTACTTAAGTCCCTGATGCTGAACCGCATATCAGTGATGTTGCAGATTTAGAATGGTTGCATACCTTTTTGGGATACATGCATGCTGCATGCGGTCAATATGTCACCCACAAAGTACCTGTCCAGCTAGCTCAAAACAAATAAATATTGAAACTTTTATAATCTCGCCTTGTACACATCCGTCATCTCTATAAAGAAAAATCTTAATATTCATTTAAGATTTCTCATTGTGAGAGACTCGGTGGCCTTGATCAACTTCCGAAAATTCCAAAGAATTTATTACACAGTTTTTTATTAACACCTAGACTAAATCCTGGCCACGAATAGAAATATCTCACATGAAAACTCTATCTGGGTTGCACTTTGGATTCGAATAAACACATAATTGATTGATAATGAGTTAATGACCAAAATTTATTCCAAAACATATGAAAGAATTAAAATAAACATTTTGGCCTGTGTGACGCAGTTTAGTTGAAGCTCAGCTATGGTACTACGGGTCCCTGGTTCGAATCCAATGAATTGTAAATGTATAGTGGGGGGTTGGTAGAGCAGCCTTGACTAAAACCCTGCCCACTCAAAAATAAATAAATAAAAAATAAAAATATTCAACGTATGTAGCTGAAAAACAATATTGACCTTTCTTATATACTCAAGGACATCGGACATTTCTAACAAAGTTATCGTGCACACGGACAGACAGATAAAAAGCAATACAAAACTGTAAACAATCTCGAGGATCGTTAATAAATAAAAACCTTTTAAAAAGTACGCAAACTTGTCCCTACATTTGAGTCGTCATAATTAAGGAGGTTGTCTGGGGCACTCCCTCCAATGTTCTGCAATCTTTTTCACGTGTTCCGAAGGGAATCAAAGCATAAGTACGATGTAGCAATTTGCAATTAGCAATAAAAAATGCAACAAATTCAGTTCTGGGACATTAAAGGACAACGCGTCTTGTGATAGACAAACAGACGGATAAAGGGTGGACAATGGCGCATTTTTTAAATATTTGTTTGAAAAGCGCTAATATAGTGTTATCAAAGTTCACTGATATTACAGAGCAAAAAGTGCGCAAGTGTTTGTGGGAGTATAATTAAAGGTATTTAATCATAGAGGGCATTTTAGTACACATTTTTATATCTGTGTTGAAATGAAATGTTGATTTTTGTCATTGTTTTGAATAGAAACAGAACGTAGTGGAGAAGAAAAAAATTACTCAGGTAGTGACGGAAATGCAGACATATGCTGGACTGATCATGAAGTGCAATCCGATCCACAAATCGGCTCTCCACCTTTCGATAAGTTACCTCCGAAGGGTGACGAAAACTTAGAAGTGGGGGAACGCAAAAGTAAATTATTTCGTACTCCTGCTTTGGCAGGTAAAAAGAAGAACTCGTTAAGTATTGGAACGGAATGCACTACTCCCGAAACTATAATTGTATGTACCGTTTTGAGATTATCTTTGTTTTAAATGTGATTCAAGGCTCGAAAATCATTTCTTGAGCAAGTCGCCCGTTTACTTCCTCCTGACGAAATAAACTTACCCGATGTTGTTCTGCTTGTATCTGGTACGGAACCGCAGGCTTCCCCATTGTGCAACAGATTAGTGCATCATCGCCTCTTCCAACCGTTGTCTGGTCCAGAGGTCCGTTCCGTTCTAACTTCGCTTGTAAATAAAATTCAAAAGTAGTAAGCTTGATTGTGTCCGAAATTGATGTGCATTTTTATAACTTGTCTAATTTCAGTTGCAACAGTTGTGCTAAACCTAGTAATCCAATCAAACTGGTATTGGTTGGTGGTGATGCACTTGTTGGATGGACGTTACGTCCATATGTAGACTTACTTTCGTCTAGATCTCCAGAATGGATTAGTTACATACGTATTTATATAGTACCTTTAGGTAAAACATATTTATTGCAGGTGGCATTCTTTTAATGGGTCACCTGAGGAATAACCATTCTTAATATAGCATTTTTAGGCATTTGTACCATTGCACGTCATCTAGCTTCTTTAGATGCTGGTTATTCAAATCTGTTTCCCTTGGATACAGAGCTCAAAGGAGACGAACTAGCAAACCGTTTGATACGTTACATTTCACTTCCTCCATTTACTCCAGTTGCTAATTTACCTTTAGCAGAAGCAATGCTTACGTGCCAAGATGATTCCAGTCAACTTTTTATTCCATTTGTAAATGTATGTACTATTTACATAGCTACTGCAAAATACTATGTTTTCTACGTTTATAGGAAGTTCGTGTGGGACCCACCGATAGCGCACTATCTGTGTCAGTTGATATGGAAGACTTAATGTGTTCAAGTCCCCCCGGTCCTCCTCCTTTAACACCTCCTTCATCGCCCAACGTACAAGCAAGAGAATCTCCTTGGGAGCCGTTAGAATTACAACTTGATTATTGGCAATTTCCAAAGGTCAATGAGAACATAAAGACTGACAAACTGAAACAAGACGGAAAAATATCATTGAAGGGTCTGTTTCGAGGATTACAAGCAAATCCAAGTTCGTGTTCAGGATTGTGTACGGGACTTAATCTCACAATGCATGTCTCGACAAAAGAAAAGAAACAAAAAAGTAAGTATGACATGGTAAATCGACTAAGTCAGTCAGTTTACATTATACTTTTCTAAAAACTATGACTAGAACTTGTACTAGTCGAAATCGTTAAAAATTTGAAAATGTAAATCATAAAATTCCGTCTAATTTTCTAATCTAGAAACTCGGTCCAGACCCATTTTCCATCCAACTTTCATAATTGTGACTTGCGCACTAGCAGCAAATTAGAACAAATTCTGTGCTGCCAACAACTTTATTTTTATACTCTTGAACATAACCTCAAATATAAATCTCTTGACTTAGGTAGGTACATCTACATATCAAAAATGAGTTTCTTTTGCTTGTTATTCATGTTTGTTTCCAAGCAATTTAAATTAACCTCAAAATGTACAATATTGAGATTTGTTTTCCGAAATTGGCAGCACTGCCATTGAATCAAAAAAAGTCAATGCACCAAAAAGCGGTAAATTTAAATTTCTAGTATAGTACAAGTTCTAGTCAAAGTTTCTATATGAAAAAGTATAATGTAAATTGAGCTTTAACCCGATATCCTTGTGTATCACTAATCAATATACATCGTAATAATAAGTTTACTGTTTACAGTGTGTGTCACACATTTTACAGGTTTTATTAGTTATTAAAGTGCACTGTTTTTGCGTGTTCAAGGTTAGGTGAGTTAATTAATACCCGCGAGATTGCCAAAAAAAATGATCAAAGTCCTCGTGTGAGATCGAAGGGACTTCAGCGCATTTTTGTGTGGCAGATCAGTGTTTTATTAGCCAATATTGACTCCACCATCAATAAGATCTTGCCGAAAGCTACCACGTTCACTTTGTCGGTACCATTTTCTCACTTACCGTGCACTCGCAATTCGCGTTTAAAGTTTTGACTCCACCATCAGTAAGATCTCGTCGGGGGTTACCACATTCCCTTTGTCGATACACAGTTCCGACGTCCCGTTCATTCGTAATTCCCATTTTGGTAGATTTCGCTAAAATCCCGGCATAAAATCGTATTCAACTTTTGGGTACTTCACATAGCTCGACCTTCTATTAGTGACACGAGAAAGAGAGACCGCGATTCGCGCTGTAAGAAACTTTTGGGCGCCCAAAGTCGACTACCCCTCGAAGCGCGCCGCGCAAAAGGTGGTTTATTTCGCCCCTAGGAAACAAAAACAAAATTCCGCCACGCAGGAGTTGTGCGCGTTGACAAGATCTTCCCGACGACACCAATTTGAAAACAATCGAAGAAAAACTGTAGAAGAAGATAGATAAAAACTGAAAAATCTCCAGGTTAGTATAATACGCTCGGGGATGGCGTCCAGATGTCGTCGACTCCAAATCTTGTAGCCCCATCCCTAACGTTCTTAATTACACGGCCCCGATAGTTACATGTACACTCCTTGTCTTTTTACAAGCGTTTTTCTACGGGCGCGCATTTACTGCCAGCCAGCCAGCCAGCCAAAGTGAGATTAAAAGCTACTTTTTACAAAAAAAAATTTTTGCAAAAATGCGCTAAAAAGTTAATTTATTCCATCAGTAAACAGACATGTTTTTAACGTATATAGATATACCGTGTGTACTTCTCAAATGTGTAGTTGTACAGTGTGAATGCTACAGTTGTGGCGTCACTTAAACTGCAAGAGATTGCCATTTCAACACTCCTCCTCAATCCGGCAGTTTCAAGTTGTGTGACATATGCAAAGAAATAGAAAGATTAATTAATGTACATAAATTAGCAACTCAATAGATTTTATATAAACAGATAAGATAGTTGCTGATGATGCCTCCTGCTGAGTCCCTTGGCAAGGATATCCGCGACTTGATCAGTTGTACAGATGTAGGTAACGTCAATCTGGCGTGACATGTGAAGGTCCCTGATGAAGTTGTACTTCACATCGACATGTTTCAGTTGATTGAAGTGGTTCATGGCCATGGCTTCATAAATTTTAAACTTTTGAAACACTTCCCCTTTTGACTTTAAGAGGTAGGCCACCGTAAAGTGTGTAAAGTCGTCTATAAGGGTCAGTACGTAGCCCATTCCGTCATAGGACTTCGAATCTACCGGACCAAATAAATCACTGTGGACTAGTTGCTACGAGTAAAAAATAAGAGGAGGGAACCTTGCTGTAAATGGGTACGCGACGGAAGTTGAGAAAAGGAAGTGATAAATGTAGGAGGACACGCGTCACAGTAGGCAGTGGCGTAGTAAAATTAAATTTGCAATGGGATGTATGTGGTTTTCTTTTTATTTTGGATCACTTTGCATTAAACTGCTGTTTGTTGTAATTTATGATATAGACCTTGGTTTAGATTTACAATGGATCTTTCCTCTTCATAACTAAACAAATAGAACTTGTGTAGTTCATAAAACTATATTAATGTGAAAAAATACAATAACAGGTATACTTATAGGTATATTTGTGCCGTTTTACTTCTATAGATGGTACCGCTGTGCGACTTAACGTAACTCTGATTGATGTTTTGTGAAATTCAGACTCTTGGAAATCTTGTAAACAGAGAGCTGCAATCTTCGGCATCGTCTCTTCTGTTTCATTAACAAACGTCATCCATGCTGTATATAATTCTCGGTTTTTTGGAAATCTACGATATACACACGTTAACCATGCCCTATTCATTTTTTATTCATAACACCCCACGTATATACAATGCGCCGCTACTGATCACATAAATGTACACAAAGATGGCTGCCATTACAGTTTCGAATTGGTTATACATTCAGGTTTATTCTCGTGCCACTTGTTAAGCGTTTTGTTTGTTAACTGAGCAAATTTGCTACGTCTAACAAAAAATGGTATTCTGGTAGCCGTTTTGTTTGGTTAGCGTAACAAGATGCCTAGCAAAATTGCTACGATTCTTACGCCATTTCTGAATTGGCGTTGGCACTTTGTTAACGTGAAATAACTCACACTACGGCTACAGATCACGATATTTTACAGATTATTTCCTGCATGTAATAAAAGAATTAGAATTGATATGGTTACATGTCCATACTGTAACAATTGATTCGCAAACGTCCAAACTTTACCGCGGTTAAAAATGTGTTAAAATTGTATCGCTTCTGATTTTCCCTATTAAGGTACTTAGACGACCACAAACTTGGCGGTTGCTTAGATACGAAGAGTCAAAACTGTCTAATGTGCTAATTTCGAATGCACTTCTCTTCCGCGATGTCCAGTTTTGGTGCAAATTGTTTCGCGAATAGGTACTAAAACCGCTGTGAATAGGTATTTATTCTGGACTTAACCATGCCGAATATCCCGGGTGCTTAAAAATGGCTGATTTGTGATTTTTCGTCAAATTGTTTTGCTACGAAGAAATACTTCAAGTCAATTTTTCACCCAAAATTTTAGGATATTACTATTATTATTGATTCAAATGCTCATGAGTCACGGAGTCATGGATAGGGACGAAGGTATAAGCACCAATCTCTATGTACCATCGAGATTATAATTGAGGTCCAAGGCGAGTGCTTCCTACAAATCATTTTTGGAAGGAACATCTTTCTTAATATTTGCCTCAAACAGCCGCTTTTTTTCTGCAGAAAAGCAGATATTCCTGATATTGCAAGCGAGTTGTTTTATCTTGAATTAAAAAATGAAAGTCCGAAAAGAACAAGTTAATAAAATAAAATAAACTCATAAAACATATCAAACGAGGTAAGAGTAGGTAAGCGTGAAGAATAATAGTAACGATAACTAAAAAATAAAAAAATTTACAAAAATGTTTTAGGCGAATTCAACTATTTCGGCTCCAAATTGCAGCTACTATGTCGTGGAGAACAGCAGTTAGTTAATTTATTCAGGGCTGCAATTTCTTGGAGTTCTTTCAAAAAGAAAATGTTTTTCGAACTATTTGTGCGTATTTTCGGAATATACGGACAAGAAACGGCTACATTCATGCGGTATGGCGTAGCAAAACCGTAGCCACGCCCTTACTTGTTAAGTCGCTTCTAGCAAAGTGCCACCAGAATTGCAAACGACTTAACAATTTGTTAAACGCGACTTAACAAATTCGTTAAACGTAGCAAATTTGCTAAAATAACAATGCCACGAGAATAAGACTGATTAAACGTGGAATTTATGAATTCATGTATATCAAACTACACAATGAGATACAAATCAATTGTGTGTTGAAGGATAGGAACAAAAACACGTACCTGGGAAATGTTATTCCGGCCTTATAGCCTTTATCCGACAGTCCGCAGGCCAAACAACCAACCATGTCTTATTTTTGAATATTTCCGTTTATAGGATGAAATCCTGTAGGTAGTCTCAACAATTCTGCCTAAATAATTATTCCGTAATACATTGTGTCCATAAATTACAAGTTAAAAGTCCGAAAATCACCACACAACTGACCAAAACACAAAATAACGCACATACGTCATCTACCAGCAATCGTAGTACCCAATATTGTCAACATAACTGACCAGCGCAAAGGAAATCATATTTTGACCACTTCCGTCACTTGCAGGCTATTCCCCACACCTTTACATTCTCCCCTCTTATTTTTTACTCGTAGACTAGTTGTAACTCAGATTAACAATAAAGAAGATAGGTAATGCCACAATACTAATACATGGTGAATGTTTGTCCGTAAAATAAACATAAATTTGCGGGGGAGGGGGTCGCTATTATGTGTGTTTGTAAACAGAAGTCAGAGGCGGCGCGTTCTAATAATAATTTAGGGTGTACAAGTACAATAAATATTTTTCTGAAAATTGGCTGAAATTAAAATAGTGAATAGGAATAGTGAATGACGACTGTTTAAACATCTTAGTAGGTTATATTTGATTAATAAAACGATTGATTGATTTTGGTATAAAATGAGGTGTGTAATAGTATATTAAGATACAAGTGTATCATCAAGTCTTTAAAGCACGCGCAACGAGTTTAAAGGCCCAGTGAAGCATAAATTGTGACTACATAGAAACTAAAGAAAATATTCTTAGAAACGCAACAACAAAAGTCCGGTGTCAGTGTCATGTCCCGTTTC